TGAGCCTTTGCTTTTTGAAGAAGTGGAAACTAAAATATAAACCAGAGGTAGACACTCCATTTTGCAGAACTATATGGTGTAAACATAAAATACGTCTATTTTGTCATTTGAAATAAAAAGCAGACCTATATAATCCTAAATATTTTGTCAACAAATTTCAGAAAGTTCCATGTATATCCAAAAACACTTCAGGAAAGGAGCACTGTAGGTATTTCCCAGGTAGGAAGGGACAGGCCCTTGGAAGAGGGTGAATTCCAACTGGATGTCCCCATATCTGCTGGGGATCCCAGGTCACATTCCCTTCTTGGAGAGCCCCACAAGTTTCTTCATTGCTTCCTACAGGGATGGAAGAAGAATTGAGAACAAGGCTATTTGGGGGAAATCTAGAAAGTGCCTCAGGAGGGAACCAAGGACTGAGGAAACCATGTGAGGAAACCAGAACACTTTCCTTTCATGGCTTCTATCCCTTAATTCCTGTAAATACCAATACTTAACTCTTCTGCATCAGTAAGCCCCAGGCAGTGGCATCATGCGATGTGATTCTCATTCAACGTTTTTGAAGTAGGAAACCGCCCTTTCTGTTGACTATGTTTTAGAGTGGTCATCACAAATTGATCTTTTCTTTTGTTTGCTTTATTTTGATGTGTGTGTGTGTGTGTGTGTGTGCGAGAGAGAGAGAGAGAGAGAGAGAGAGAGAGAGAGAGAGAGGGTTTCTCTGTGTAGCCTTGTTTGTCCTGGACTTACTTTGTAGACTCTTGGAGATCTGCCTGCCTCTGCCTCCCTGAGTGCTGAGACTGCAGGCATGTGCCACTGTGCCCAGCTAACACCATCATTTCTACAAATTGATACTCTTGATGCTGCAACACTAATAAGGAATTGCACTGAGATCACTGGCATCCCTTTTGATTGTTTTCTTGGTCATGCTGTCTCCCCCTCCCCCCGGCTCCCGCCGAAGCACTGAAATTAAAAATTGCTAAACTAAGCTCCTTCAATACTAAGACTTGGAAATTACAATCTATTGGTCAAAACCGAGTCACAATGCAAAGTTCAAAGGAAATTAAAAATTTTAAATAAGAAAAGTAGAACCCACATCATGATGAATGAAGAAGCAAAGGTACATTGGTCATCTCTACAAATACTCAATTTTTCATAGTTTATTTCAAAGTCATATTTCTTCTGATATTGTAAGTGATAATATGTATCACATGAAGTTTTCTTTATACAATGTTTTATTTTGTTAGAAATAGTCCTTGTTCCCCTCACTATGGGAAACCAATTGGTTACTGAGCTACCACAGGCTACATCTGAGCAGAGGTTCTAGGTTACATTCATACATGGTCCTTGGTTGCATGTCAGTCTCAGAAAAGACCCTGTGCCCAGATATATAAAACTGTGTAGCCCAGGCTGGCCTCGAACTCGTGATCCTCCTGCCTCTGCCTCCTTCAGCAAATCCTACCGGTGTCCTTCCCACCCCCCAAGGGAGGAGCAGTCCTGTTAGGCCACGGAGAAGAGCTTTGCAGCCAGTCCTGAAGATACCTGATAAAACAGGATCAGATGAATGGGGAGGAGGTCCCCCCTATTAGTGGACTTGGCAAGGGGCACGGTGGAGATGAGGGAGGGAGGGAGGGACTGGGAGGGAATGAGGGATCGGGACATGGCTGGGATACAGAGTTAATAAAATGTAACTGATAAGAAAAAAATAAAATTAAAAAAAAAAACAAAACAATGTTTTATTTTAAGCCCTTAATATGTAACAGTCTGTTGGGGGTTGGTCTGATGCTTGCTTTTGATGCTAATTACTAGCCCCAAGAGCTGGTCACTGCATGGATAAACCTATCCTTGTTGTGTAAACCTGCCTAAGACATTATACTTGATTAGTTGACTAAAGGCCTAAAACCTGGGCGGGGCATAATGGGGTAGGCATGGCTAAGGTTTCCTGGCTTTGGGTTCAAGATAATCATGGGAAACAGAGAGATGGGAGAAGAGGAGGAAGGAGGACACCACATGGATTAGCATGGAGAAGAAGCTATGTGGGCCTGGAGGAAGGATTCTAAGGATGGCATGAATGGAAAAAATAAAAATAAAAATAAAAACAACAAAACAAAAAGCCAAATAACAAGCAAATATAAGATTACAGAAAGGAGGTAGCTCAGTTACAGATAGTTAAGGTGGATGGCATTGAATGGGGTCTGAGAGACAGATGGTGAGGTCATTGAGCCTGCATAGATAGAATTATCTGCCTAGCCCAAGGTGTTTTAAGGCAATTAAAATTTGACAGATGTCTGTTTCTTATTAACTGTGATAGTGGATTAACTAATACCACTGTAAAAATTATATGGCTAAGAATAATAAACATTATATAGCCCAACACCCATTTTATTTACAACAAAAGTCCACATTATTAAATTGCTAACATGCCATCTGACAAAGGTTGCCCTGACAATTTTTTGAGAGCTTTGGGCAGAAGCTAGGTATAGGTTATATATGTTGATTATATAGGCTGGCTTATTAAAATAGCATATTTCCTGATACTGATGAGAATTACATATACCAATATATTCCAGATTTTGCCTTGATTATAACAAAACATTGATTTCACCAATAAAGATTCTTGAAAATATAATTATTAGTTGATTGAACCATCCATTCTTGACAAAATCATTTAGAGAACTTTTCTTTATACTTCTTTGCGTGAATGTAAGTCACTTAATGTTTTTCAGAAAATAAGAAAAGTATACATTTTAACCCATTTATGTTAACACCTAAAAAAGAGAATTTAAGATTGATGAAGACTGAGACAATCTCAGCTATCAGGGAAGGCACTAGAGAAAGCAACACATCCCAACACACCTCGAGGAAGACTTCCATCAAATACCACACAAATGTCAGGAAGCAGAGAGATGCCCTCACCTGCATTCTTCAAAACCAAATCAGGTTCATTCCTCCTCTACAGTGAATGTCCTCAAGAAGACCCACGTGAATTAAGAAACAAAACTCAAAGATGAGCTTCTTTGTTCCTTGGCACGGGAACAAAGCTTTTACATTGTACTCATTAGTATGTATGCACTAAGTCTTATTCTTACAAATAAACATCTTTGTTTAAAAATAGTCAATTTAACCAAAAGATTTTAAACACATGGTAGTGGAATCTTAGGGAAAACCCAAAGAATGAAGCTAATTTATTCTGGGAAAGAACAAAATAAAGTCACTAAACAAATTCACTAATAGTGAACATGAAACGCTATTGATAGCTTTGCACATACTTTGCCTGTGAGTAATCTAGGCACGTTCCCTGAATGTTAACATAAAACGTTCTCCAGCTGCCACTGTATTTGTTTTGAGAGGAGAAAATTCTGCTTTTCAGAGTCTAGAAAATTCCCATATTTTTCATGTCTCAAATTATTAATTTTCTAATTAATTTTAACAGCATATATAATCAAAATATAATACCACATCTTCATAATTGAATGAATTATTTGATGTTAGTAAAATTGGAGAACAGTAAGAGGGGAAGGAGATTGGGATATAAGTTATATATTGTTTAATTACCAAAATAAGTTTTATTAGTAATACAGATTAAATAGTATTTTCTTATTAAATTAGACTGATTCTCCAACAACAACCGTACAAAATTTATTAGCATCAGTATTTTTGAAGTGTTTTGCTTTATTTAACTGTATAATTTAGTTGTCTTTGTCACCTGATCAAATGACGAGCCCTTAGCAGATGATGGGCTAACTGGCAGTAGAAAACCTAAGTTGTTTCTTCTCACCAGACCAACCAAAAAAAGGAAAACATTGAATAAAGAATATTAAAGTTTACCAAAAACTCACCACACAAAATAAGAGACACAGCTGGGCTCTTTCTGGCTTGGCACTATAAGCACAGAAGAAAACTGTTTTTCAAAACTACCTTTTTAATTTTGTTCTTTGTTTTGCTTTTATGACTATGCTCAGCCTGTACCTTTGTCATCATCTTCAGCTTATGCATATTCATTACTTCCAAGATCACCCCATATTAATTCCTTCTATGTCTAAACTATGGCCAATCAAGCATTCTCAGACCTTGATTTCAAACTTCAAGGGGAAAATGTGATTGTCTACTCTTCTGTCCAATGTGTATCAAAACTGACTGTCAAGAATAGCTCACCCACCTACAGAGTCATGTGCCTGTGATGACAGGAATGTGGAGTCATGCATTCAACTAGGCCTGTGGGTAGGCCAATATGCATTGCATTGAGACGTAGGATGTAATTTACTATAGGCACACTTTGGACTTTTAATGTGTTAGAATCTTCTTCCTCACGTGCTTACATAACAATTTACTATTCTGAAGTTCTACCTTTGGGAGAGAATGATTTCAATAAAAAGGATAACACTCTGGTAACCGCGGAACAATGAAATGTAATCAATTATAATATATATTCAACCCACTATCAATGAAAAGACAGGCTTCAAAAAAGAATGAAGACCTCAAAGATGTTGTAAGACTTTATATAGCTCATTTTCAACTTTAACTTACATGATATTAAAAATACAATACCTCATTTAAATATTTTTTTTCATTTCTAGTTACTGAAGTTCTAATTGCTGTGCTTGTAGAGAAAGCAGAGTTGAACTTTCCATTTGATTCATAAAATTTGGAGATAAACTGAATTGTAAATCATGTTTAAATGTGCTGTTATTACAGTTGCATTTATTTGACTTGGAATTAGGTCCCAGCTTTGACTTCACTTCCTTATGTGTATCTAATTTTTCTTTAGCTGCCTCTGGTCTTAGTGGCATATTTATTTTGTACTTTCTACTTTCTAGAAGTTCATTGATACTGATGCCTTTAAAATATCAGAGGCTAAAGGAGAAGGAAGACAGTGAAGATTTCAAGTCTTAAGGCAATATGATTCACCAATACTGTGCAACAATGAAAGGAACTCTGTTGAAAAAAGTTCCAAAGACCAACACAGAAAATTTACATTTATTTCTTATTGTTGTTCATATTGAAGAAATTGCTACATTGTTGATATACTTTTTAAAAAACTCTTTTATGCACATTTCTTATATCTCTTTCTCCACTCCAATCCCTTCCAACACCCCAACACCAGGAAGGAGAGATAAAGGGTTAATAGGAGAGGAGGTGCAGTTCTCTTAGCTGTTTCCTGCTGGTTAGGGTCATCTGGTTCCTTGGAGCTAGTCTAATCCTTGCTTCAGGAGATCTCCAACTTCTTGTCTGGCTGCATCAACAGCAACAGGAGTGATAGGAGGGAAGCAGCTGCAGCTTCGTTCTTTCTCGGAGCTCCTCCACACTCTCTGGGCTCTGGCTTTCATTCTCTCTCCAGAGTCCTCAAATTTAAACTCTCTACAGCTGGCAAAGAGGTCCTCTCAGAGCCCACAGGAGGCAAATAGTTTGCTGCTCTCGACTGTCTGAATCAGTCCCACGTCCCACTCCTGGGATTTAAACAAACAAACATGTTTATATCCACAACACTACATTTATTGTTGACTTAAAATGTTCTCCAAACAAAACAAAACAAAACAAACAAACAAAAAACGTTCTCCAAATCACAAAAGTAGTATGATAATAACCATAGTTAAGCTTTTGTCATTAAGATCATTTATTCCTTGATTATAATGGTTTGTTTACCATTGTAATATTTTATATTTACATATTACCATTATCACTCAGACATAATTATAGTGACCTACAGAAGATATTGCATCCAATCAATCAGAAAATAGTTTAGCACTACTGGGATGTAATAGAGGAAAAAAAAAAGTTTCTTGTAAAGGTAAATTAGCCAAACTGTATCTAGATCTCTTTTTTTCTGGGAAAATGTTAAATACAGTGACCTCAAGTGAAGTTCTTAGTTTAACAGTAAGACTCAGATAAAATGATACAATAATTAATTGACTTTAAAAAGAACATTGCTTTTTAGAATATTATAAGAGCTTATTTTGAATATGGCTTTGGTATTATAACATGAAAGATTTGGCTTTTCTAAAGGGCTATTTGCCTCCAAAACACAGAATGTGGAGAAGGTATCTATAGATCTGAAAAAAAAAAATTCTGATTAGGAGGAAGGTTTTATTGTGATCATGATGAATAACTAAACAACAACAACAAATGCAGAGGGAAAGTGGTTGTACCAGGAGCCATGAGTGCCTGTCCTGAGGGAGACAAATTGCAAGCATCATGAGTCCTTTCTCTGAAAGTTCTACCAAAATGTGGGACACAAGTCACAAAATAAAACTGCAAGAGCAAGGTCTGAGCAGGGGACTAAAAATGTTAGGGTTTCTTATAAACAGAAAGTAGAGAGACCAAAAGAAAGAAACCCGAAGTCCACAGAGGGAAACAAAACACTACTGAGGGAAAAAGAAGAGTTCCCAACACTTCCACGCTCATGTTGAGTGAGCAGAAATGGGAATGACTCAATGCCGTGTTTGCCACTTCATCACCGTCGTAGTTAGGGTCTCCACTGCTGTGAAGAGACGGCATGACCAGGGCAACTCTTTTAAGGAAAAGATTTGATTGGGGCTGACTTACAGTTTAGTCCATTACAGTCATGCTGCAGAAGGAGCTGAGAGCTCTACATCTTGATCCGTAGGCAGTAGGAAGAGACTGAGACACACATCCTCCAAAAAAGCCATACCCACTCCAACCTGCAAGGTCACACTTCCTAATAGTGCTCACTCCCTGTGATTTCTTTCAATTCACCACAGTCACATTCTTTTATAACTAATCATACAATACATTTAATTTTAATTAAATAGATGAAGCAATTAACCCCAGATAACTTAACTATTTTATATCTTTAGAAGGGTGAGAAAAAAGTCAGAAGAATGGGATGGGATGAGGGAGAAAAGGGCAACAACAGAAATTACCTCCTTGACCTCCTTCTGTTGTGTTACTAGCTGCAGTGGTTTGCCTGTGGGTTAACTGTGACTCCATTCTAAAAGCAAAATGCAAAATCTTTCCAAAGTAGACTCAGAGTTTGAACACCAAAGTAAGACAGGGTACCAGTAAACAAAAGTGAAAACATACACAGGATTAGGACTCAGTTGTTTAAGAAAAAAACAACTCTGTAAAAGTAACACAGCAAAGCTCTCTGGCTGCAGAGTCAAGTCATCTTTGTCTTTTTATAAGAAATCTAAGAATACTTAAAGGAAATGGATAGAAATCATTTGGCAGTGAAATGAGCTAATTCAAGACACATTAAAGTATTTAAATGTAGGTTTATTGGGAATAGCTCTCAGAGGGTTTACAGGTCCCAAGGAAGCAGATATGCAGGGGGAGACAGAAAATTGAGGGAAGAGAAAGTGCAGAAAGAGAAAGCAGAGAGAGAAAGAGAGAAAAAGAAAAATCAGAGGAGAAGGAGGAGGAGAAGGGGAAGGAGGAGGGGACCAAAATGTCTGGATTATATAGTGAAAGGAGTGGGGAAGCCCCTGTCCCTGGGCTGGACAATTCAGAGTAAAGGGCAGGGTGTGCCAGCCATGCCCTGTAACAGATAGGACTGAGGAAAGCTGGCAGAATCTGGAGGTCAGGTCTGCTTTTGCTGAGAAGGACTTCATCCATTTGTCTGCTAATTTCATGATTTCCTTTTTTTTAATAGATGAGTTTTAATTCCATTATGTAAATGTACCACATTTTCTTTATCCATTCTTAGGCTGAGGGACATCTGGGTTGTTTCCATTTTCTAGGTATTACAATGAAAGCTGTTATGAACATACTTTAGCATATGTCCTTGGGTGTGGTGGAGTACCGTTCAAGGGATGGTAAAGCTAGGTCTTGAGGTAGAGCTATCTCTAATTTTCTGAGAAAGCACCATATTGATTTCCAAAGTGATTGTACAAGTTTTTACTCCCACCAACAATGGAGAAGTGTTCCCCTTTCTCCACAACCTTGCCAACTGCCACTTGAGTTTTTTTATCTTAGCCATTCTGTTGGGTGCAAGATGAAATCTCAGAGTCATTTTGATTTGCATTTCCCTGGTGACCAACAGAGTCAAATAATCTTGGCCCAGGGGGGCTCATGAAGACTGAAGCACAACCAAGGACCATGCATGAACTAGACGTAGGTCATGTAATGTAGCCAATGGGCAACTTAGTCTTCATGTGGCTGTCCCAGTAAGGGGAGCAGGGGCTGTCTCTGACATGGCCTCTGTTGCCTGCTGGCAAGGGCTGTCTTGCCTGCCCTCAGTAGAAGAGGACAAGCTCAAACTTGATCCAACTCTTTGTGCTGGGGTGGAGATCACTGGTAGGGGGCTCCCCTTTTCTGAAGAGTAGGTGAAGGAATACAGGGGGAAGAAAGAGAGAGGGTAGGACTGGGAGGGCAGAAGGGTGTTGGCTAGGAAATAAATACAATTTATTTGCTTGTCTGGGTCTGAAGCAGAAAGAACTACTACATGCCTACCACTTCTGAGACAGGAAGATTCTCTAGTCTCTGGCTCCAGTCTTACCCTCCCTTCAAGAATAAATAGAGTGCACAGTAAAGAGTGTTTTGTTTTGTTTGTCTGTTTTGTTTTGTTTTATGCCACACAGGAGTAACGAGTCAAATGAGGAAGTAAAAATGTTGAGACCCTCAGTGGCAGCAGGCTATGAACAGCAGAGCTGCCAGCATTCCCCATCTGTGTCCTCCATTACTGCAGGTTGCCAGCCTAGAGACTGGCAGTGTCCCAGCTTCTCAGAGAGTCACTGAATTTCCACCCAGAGTAATTCCTTGCACAACGAGTCTACAAAAGGCAGGTCACTGTTCAAAGTAGCAGATGGGCAAGTTTCCTGTGTCTGGTGGGTCTCAAAGCTGGAAGAGTCCCACAGTTCAAACAGCAGATCTCAAGGCTGAGGCAGGAGGGGTACATTATAGGAAAGAATAATGTCTCAAAGAAGGGGCAATGGGAATTCAAGTGAGTGTCTCTCCAAAAAATAGATCATGGGAAGGCTCTCTCTCTGGTGAACACTTTTTCCTTCAACAAGTATCTGGGAGCCAGACTCCTGGCCAAATATGAGAGCCTAGCTCCCACAATGAACTTCACCTTAAAGTTCTTCCTTGTTTTCTGCCTCAAAGGGAGGAATGATCCCATCCCAGATAAACGGCATCTTTGGGAGATACATTCATATGTAGTAGAAACCCATGCTGTCTGATTACCAGACACTCCACTCAGTCTATGAATACTAAGGATCACAGAACATAGGACAAATGAGAAGAACACACAAGGAAAAGATCAAAATGAATAAACCAAAATTTAAACATCTAAGTTGGAAAGAAAAACCAATATCCACACAAAGCTTCAGAGGTAGTGTATCCATCGAACAATAACTGGCTGGTCCAGAAAAGGAGAAAAATGAGAACACTTGTGTAAAAATGTGATTACCCAATTAAAGGTTTTATTGTAAAGGTTGTCCCAAATTCAATAAGAGAATGGGCCTAAATAAAAATGACATCAAAAATCTAAAGAGTGAGATAAATTATCCAAAGGGTAAAATGAAATGGGAAGAGAATAAGTAACACGAAAACAAAGGTAAACAATGTAGATAATTGTTGCTGAAATTGCTTCTAAGGGAAACAACATCTATCCCTTCTCCTAAGGTCTTGTTGACAAACTAAGCACAAGTCTGCCAAGTTCACTCTAGGGAACCAATAAGTTCATTAGATTTCCTGACAAACCCTAGATGAGGGGTTACTTACTGCTTCTCTGTCCAGGAGGCTGCATCTGAAAAGCTTTTATCCAGCAGGGATGAGGGCTTCCCTTAGGTGCACAGATAGCGCCTATCCTTCTCTAGTTTTGCCTGGAATATATATCAGCCCCTTGAGGACACGTGCACTTACAGTAGAATTGTATATGACAAGTAGTAAGAAACAGCTGTGAACTCAGACTAGAATATCATGCTCCTCTCCAGCCATCTATGAGGGATGTAAGCAGTCAACAAGGCCAGCTGGAATGATATTTTGCGAGGGGGTGAAGCTCCCCTCCCTGAGATGGCAATTGTTTGACTCAGTCACTCACAACAATAATTTAATATATCCCCCAACATTCTGTTGAAGTGTCAGATGGAGAAAACAAACTGTGATGAAAAAAAGAATTGGAGAAATAATGAAAAAAATTCTCTGTATTTTGGCTTGTTCAAGTGGGCTTTTTCTTCAGTCAATGTACGCAACCAGACAACTAGCAATTCCCAAGAGCATACAGGAAAGAGTAAGGGAAGTTCTGTTCTTAATGGAGCCTTTATCAATCTACTCCATTTGATAAGTGGATCTATTCCCTCTAGGATATATCTGGAGACATTTTCATCACAATTGGTGGCAGTCAAAAAAGACTGGCTTCTACCCCCTCCAGACCAAAACTGTTACTGAATTTGAAATCTCTATGTTAGACGATTTCCCATCTAACCAGAGGCCTTAATGACATTCTGAACATGATGCTAGAATCTTCCTTCTCACAAACTCTCAAAGT